CACACGACAAAACTAAACAAACAACTATGACTTTAAAAGACACAGCCACATCTTGGACTGAAATCAAAACCTAATCTTTGTCTGCGCCAATATTATTACATTCAATCTACATGAGTAAAACCACACTAACCTCATGGAGATGTTGACAAATGTGTGCGCTCTCATTGTACGCAGGCGATTTTTAATCTGAATAGAAAACAATGTAATCTTTATTATTAAATATCAAACTAAATGAGCATAGAGAACATATATTACCGTATTTTAATCGACTCCCTCCATCCCAAGCCATACGAGTCTCTGGAACAACACACTGCTGCTCCTCCTCCATATACCTCCAGCCCAAATCAAGAACGCGTGTACACAAACCTGCCGAACGATTTGGCACACCTCCCAATTGCCGTGCTGGACGTGCATATGGAGACTGCATGATTGAATAGTTTCCCGCACTAACAACATTGCAAACCCAGAACCCCATCCTTCATCCTCTCCGCGACAGTCACTTATCAGCGTTGTTATGAGCGATGATGTTAATTATGCATCGGACTATTTTTACACCCAGAAACAAGGGCAGATCGGATCATTAGCCCGGTGTGGCGTGCGGACAGGTTTTGGCAGTTTAGATAGTGTTGTTTCAAAGTAGAGCAGACAGATGTGCGAGAGAGACTGCGATTACCTGTGGATGAGAGACGGGAGGCGTAGAGGTAGCACCTGTCATTAATCACACACTGGTCAATATAAGTAAAGCTCCAAAGTGATGCATCCAAAAGCCGAGGAAGAAAAGAAGACGTTATTTTGTATAGATGTGAGACGATAAACCATCCTGACTTGTGTTATTTTATCCATCCATCCATCCATCCATCCATTTTCTTCTGCTTTATCCGTTGCCGGGTCTTGTTTTTATGTTTATGTTATTTTTATGTTTCTATCAGAACTTTTATATTATGATAAAAGTTTTCTTAAAGCAATTCTCTGCTCAAACTTGTGATTCCTATTTTCTAGTAAGGTAGGGTAGTCTGTAGTCGTTCGCTATCTCAATTAGCAAGCCGATGTTGAAACTACGTCATCTCAACATCATTGCCAGACAAAGAAAAAAGGTGGTCGCTGGTGAGTGCGGAATGATAGTTTTCCCGACGTCATCTGGACTGTCAATAGAATGTCCCTTCAAGGTCGAATTGTGGTACAGAAGAAGATCCAACGTCCTATAGGGCCAAAATATTGACGTTTATATGACGTTCATTGACGGCCGTCCTTTTGACCAGTGAACCAATTCAGAATCACTTAACTAGCCAAGAATACTTTCTGCAATAAGCAAGGCAAGTAACATGGTTCACCTTTCGCGGCCTGACAGTTATCTCTAGAAGAAAAGGTTTTGTGGCTTATATGCACCGCAGTGATGAGGACTACAGTGGTCCGCCCGTAGCCTTTAGCCCTGCTCCTGCCCCTCGGCACGGTGCCCTCTGCATCTGTATTTTACAGTGTGTGCACAGCTGATGCACTTCAGGTGAGTCCAGGTGGTTACAAAAAGTGTATAAAGTCTATGATGAGAGGTTTACCGCTTCAAAACAATTAGCTGCTACTTTGCGGATTTCACGTATTGCGTCTTTTGTACTTGTTATTAGTAGAAGGTGAAACCAGAGCACACAGAGGAAACTTACGCAGACACAAAATGGACAAACTCAACACAGAAAGGCCCGATTGGGAGGTGGAATCGAACCCAGGACCTTGTTGCTACTAACCACAGCGTCACTAATGCCACAAAAAATCTGGAAGATTTTACATGAGGCGCTTGCTATTGATATGCACCCACTCTGAAACAAAACCTAAGGAGACTATCATATTTTAGTGGAATGAATAAAGTCGCGCTGAAGACTTTGTGGGTGTTTTTTTTTGTCTGCTCAGCTCAAACTCAAACTTATTTTCCCACTTGAGTGATGAAAATTAGTCCAAAGTGCTGACTCGACAAACAATGAAACTCCAGAATTGGTCTTTGGTTCCCAAAGTGGGGGGCATGAGATGAGTTTCTGTATCTAGTTTAACAAATTGCATATTATACAGCTACAGTGCTACAATTGTTTTGACACAAATAATATGTGAAATGAGAAATCTTCGGCGGGAGTTGGGAATGCTGATTTGGAAGTCGCGGCCTGAAAAATTTTGGAAGTCCCCGTGTGAGACAAAAAGTGAGGAGGATAGATAGATATTCTCAGTTATCTAAGGCCATTCACATGTTGAATTAGTTAACGTTTTTACATTCACTCTTTGAAGAAATCACTGTATTTTATTTCTTTTTTGGATTTTCTAAGATGTAGGAGCACTAATAACACAATTTTACGTTTTCATGTTTTTGTTTGTTTTAACCCCTGTATCTTTTAAATTATAGGCCTTTACCAATTGGCTGGGATGCAATTTGATGGTAAAAGTGCCTAAAATCATGTGATAGAGATGCCCCAAGATTTCAGTCCCATACTTCAAGTAGATCTAGTGACTCAAAAGGTGATCTACCAAATGATTGATGAAACAATTAAAGGGTTAAAATAATATAAATCCTAATACATAATTCAAATAAAACCAAATAGCTAAAAACAATCAATGGAATTATTTGAACATTTTGCCCTTCACTTTCTTGTGAAATGCTCCCGATGGAATGTTTTGTAGAGCAGAAGGGATTTGGACTCTGTTTATTTTGGCTGAAACAGAAACCTCGGGAATCCCCACCTTTAATCTTTAACCTAAGACCGTGACATTTATAACTGTCAGGGAGAAGACACACTGACATGAGATTTGTGAGAGAACGCAGGATCTGGAATGGGATCTGGCGAAAGGGCAAATGCTGTCACATCAAATTTAAAACGTGGTTCATTACCAGCACAGTTAAAACTAATAAATAATGCATATATTTGACTGTACAGATAATTCTGAGGGCTCAGAGGGTTCACACAAGTTGTAACTTTGATCAAATACAGGTGCGCTTCAGGGATACAGCAGAGGCAACAGGCAACAGAAAGCCTCCCAATGTTCATTATTTTTTCTTTGCTTCATAATTTAGAAGGGCAGCCAGGTGTTTTTTTTAAACTAATTTATGTATTTTATTTTATTTGTACATGTTCCACAATGAGCTGTGTATATTGTCTCATATTACTGCCTCTACGTGACTATATATATTCTGATGAACCGATTCAGTGGAACAATATTGATTGATATTTTGTTTACTTTCCTGAGACAATTATCTTTTATTTATACATTCTAATAATGTGTCAAGCCTGTTTTTGTTTTACAATTAACACATATTTGTATCTGATTTATGATAGTGTTAAAGTCCAAAAGGGGTCAAGGCACGGTCAACGGTTAATCATTGCATGTCCCACAAACAAAATGTCTTAAACCAGCATCATACTCATAAGCGAGGGCTTTTGTTGGTTAAAGTAGCAATATGTAAGATTGTTTTGTCAAGTCATCACCAAATGGTCCTAATCTGTCAAAGGGCATTAATAATCCATGCTCTTTTCCAATACTTCTTTACCTGATAACAGAAGTTCAGATACTTGGATTTCAAAATAAGTTTTACAGCCCCTAAATCTTGTTATTGTTTTCATTTCGATGTCCCGCCCTTCACCGTTTCACCAATCAGAAAGTCTATGATACGGGTTGCCAGAACTCACAGCATCGAGCTAATCTCCCTGGTAAAGTAGCATTTGGCATTTTATTCAAAAAAGGACTCAAATCAAGGAATAACGCCAGGATTTCTATCTTTGTGAAAAAAAAGATGTTGGTTATAGATTTGTTGTTGATAAAACTCTTGTCTATTCAGATGTTTTGGTCCAAGCTGGATTTGTCTTCATGTCTGGCAACCTGAGAGGGTGCAGTACCACTTTTGGCCAGATTATAAATATTGCTCCTTTAGATACTCTGAAACAATGCAGTAATTTAAGAAACGAATCATGTTCAATGTTCATATGAATAATCAATTTCCTTTTATTTCAGCACATTTGTTCTTAACATCCATTCCTTCATTTCTGAAGACCTTGGTCTGGTCTATCTGGTCACTCTCTCTGTGTTCCTTCTCTCTCTCTCTCTCTTTGGTCACTCTCTCTGGATTGGAGGATTTTACATATTCCACCTGTTTTTAGTGCTAAGGGCAATAGGAGCACCCAGAGTAAACCCACGCAGCCATGGAGAGAACATTCAAACTCCACACAGAAAGACCATGTTCCAACCAGAATTTGAACCCAGGACCATTTTGCTGAGAGGCGTGAGTGCTACCCACCGTGCCGGCCCCAATGAAGTGTAAAGTGTGGATTTATGCAAAACCAATGGATTCCCGAAAGAAAACACACCGCACCACCCATTTCCTAAGGTGAGTCCAGTTTTAACCTGAAGATTTGTGTAAATGGATGGAGTCTAATTAAAACATGTAGCCACACCGTCCCTTTCTGGAACCGGTTTGACAGTCGTACTGTTGAGATTATAGGTCAAGACTTAAAACGCTGCACCAAGATCCCAGAAGCAGATTTATTTGGTTTGCGCAAAAGTGTCTGCAGATCTGCACTGGCCCCGATCTCCCTCATTGGTGGGACCATCTTGTATCAGTGGTGAGCAGTTGTCCAGAGTGACCATGTCCCAAGACTTCAGGCCGAAGGGTCATGTAGGACGCTGCAGTCTAGATGGTCCATGGAGGGGCTGGGTCTCTCCATCACAATCAGGATCTTTGAGGCTAACAAAGTCAAATAGAAAAGCATAAGTAAAGAATAAAGAGAAGAACTGAACCCAAACCGTCATTCAAACCAATCAAGGAGTGTCTTACCTGTGACTTTGAAAGCAGAAGGTTCTGGACCCCCCACAGTTATTTGTGAGATGGTGCTACTCTCTGGAATTGTTTAAATCCATAATAAAAAGGCTAAAGGTGAGGTCTGCTCACTGTTCACCTGCACCAGAAGGTTCCGTGCCGCTTTGTACATGGAGTTGGTGCTACTCCTGGCGGATCCTGTTTGCCGTATCTACTCCTAGACAAACATGGACAAAGTCTTTTCACTCTTCAAGCTCAGATCTCCGTTGAGCCAGTTGCAGATTTCAAAGTTTCTCGCGCCGCCTTTAAGGAGTTTGTAGACAATGACCCCTATCTCCATCACAGACGTGGGACCCGCCATGCATCTGTGGCGGAGGAACATCTCCGGGGGGCAGTAGTCCAGAGTGCCCATATACCAAGTGCACAATGTAGTGGTGATGCCGCAGCTACATCCAAAGTCCAAGATCAGTTGTTTGATGATGTCCCTGACGAAGACTGCAGCGCTTTGTCCCAGACGGTCTCGTCCTCCAGCCGCTTTGTACATGAAGAATACCTCCTCAGGGATGTCAAAGATCTTTCCCTCGCTGGCCAGAGATAAGTACTTTACAGCATTCGAGACATACTTGAGGCCAACTGGAAGTCAAATAGAAAAGTCACGAGTTAAACAGATAAAGAGCAGAACTGAATTCAAACCTTCAAATCCATGTCTTACCTATGACTTTAATGTTGACTTAAGCTTGTGGCTAAATAAAGAAATAAATGGGAGCTACTGCCACAACAACAAGAAAAATGTGCTCAAAAATTGCAAACGGCAAGAAAGAAAGTAAACAATGTCCAACAGGCCAATAAAAAAATCAACAAATGTTTATGAAGACGGTTCTGTGGTGCTGGTGCTGAACCAGGGGTGTCCCTCCATCTCTTCCAGGCGGATCCTGGTGGTAGGATCTACGGTCAGACACTTGTGTACAAAGTCTTTTCCCTCCTCTGACGCTTCACTGGTTTTAAGGTTCAGTTCTCCGTTGAACCACTCATAGGCGTCAAAGTTTTTTGCGTCACCGTTGAGGAGTTCACAGGCCATGGCCCCGATCTGCCACACAGACGTGGGACCCGGCCTGCAACTGCGGCTGAGTAGCATCTCCGGGGGGCAGTAGGCTGGAGTGCCCATATACCGAGTGCACGGTGTAGTGGTGACGCCGCAGCTACATCCAAAGTCCACAATCCGGACTCGAGGCCCCTGCTGAGTCTTCTGGATCAGGATGTTGGTGGTCTTTATGTCACGGTGGAAAACCCACTGTTGTTGGAGCTGGATCAGCGCCTGGACCAGTTGTTGGATGATGTCCCTGACGGTGTTTTCAGGCAGAGGGTCATGGAGGACGCTGTATTCCAGAAGGTCCATGCAGGGGCTGGGTCTCTCCATAACAATGAGGATCTCTGAGTCTGATTGGAACCAGTCGATTAAAGAGACTGCAGCACTTTGTCCCAGACGGTCTCGTCCTCCAGCTGCTTTGTACATATAAAAGACCTCCTCAGGGATGTTGAAGACCTTTCCCTCGCTGGCCAGAGGGAGGTACTTCACCTGTTTCTTTGTCACCTTTTTGATGGCCACCTGTAAGTCAGAGCAGAGAAAACTTTGTTACTTAAAATCAAATCAAAAACCTGGACTGAACCATGAACTTCCATTCAAGAAGCGTCTAAAGCCTGAGCACCAATCTGATATCAGCCGCATTAAATGGGTTAAAGGTCTATCCTTGTCTTTGTCTTCTTGCTGAGGTCCGGTCGGACAGTCGTGTCTCTGAAGCAGCAGACATCTTGTAAAATCTGTGATCTGATTGGGAAAAACCAATCATTTGAGGTGCAACTTAAGACTTTTTTATCTTTGGCTGTTTTTCTGGCTCTTGTATTTTTTTTACCTGGGACTTTTATTTTATCATCATCATTAAATCATATTTTCTTTTGCATTCCTGCATTTTGGGTTCTCCTTGTTTTTCACCACGTGACAGCAGAAGGCTGACACATATTTGTTTTATGTACTTAATACTCAGTAGAAGGCAGATTGGTGCCCTTTACACAATCACACTTTAGATACTGTATAAATGACTGCAGCTGTTATAACTGAATACCTAACCAGTGTCAGAGTAATGTCTAAATCATTCATGTTCTCACCTGTAGACCATCAGACCTACGTTCGCCGCTGTAGACCGCTCCAAAGCCTCCCCTGGCCAGCTCATGGCCCATCACATATCTGCCTTTGAAGGTGTCCATGTCTCCAGAGCAGGCGATCTGGGCCAAGAGGTGACGCTGTTGAGCCCTGTGCGGCTGTTCAGGCTTGCGCCTCTTCCCTGCAGGGATGGCATCTGTAATAAATCAATCAATCTTTGTTTTCAATTTGTGAAGTACTTAACATATAATACTGCAGGGAAATGGGTTCATAAAAAAACAGTGACCCATCACTTTACACTGTACAAAGTAACGTATGCGTCATGCATATACTCAAGATAAAGTAGTTCCTATTATGTTTTTGTACTTATGCCACCACATGTGAAATAGCATAACAAAAGTATTTTCAAACGAAGTTCATTGATTCATTATATTTTGTGTGTCTGTATGCGGAGTAAAACTTGAGCAATGCCAAAATATTCATCAGATCGTGTCAAAATATAGTGATGAATGTTAATGTAAATTGGGCTTGTAATAATTCTCATGTGCTGCATATAACTACTAAAAAGCAGTGGAGCTCAACACATCAATCACAGATTGAGGAGTGGGGACTAAATAAGTTATTTTCTTCCCTTTCAGGCAGAATTAGGTTTGTTTAGATGCAGTTTATACTGTACATTTACTTTTGCCCTAATCGTTTTGCATTATACGACTTGACTGTATTTTTCTACCTTGTACTTCTCTCTATGATTGCCTGAAATAAATTAATACATGAAAAATGACAGAAAATATCATCTGGGGGGTGTTTTTGCTTAAACTCGTCGCCACATGGACTAGAGGCCAAGTTAAAATGATTGTGAGATCTGTAAAGTTTGTATATTTTCTTCTCGTCACTGACCTGCCACACAGTTGGGAATCCCAGCGTTGCGTTCGCGTTTGCGTTTGCCCATTTTTGAGATAAATGTTCAGCTATCTGTAATGTGTCTGTTCAGCTCAGAGACTGAAGAGTGAATGACTGAATGCATGATTGTGTTGCCAACGCAACAACACTTACGGAACTGTGCTTTAGAACACCACGTAATGAATGATGTTATGTCTGCGTAACCGTAGCAACGCCAATCAATTGAATGGTTTTGAATATGATTAAACAAATGTATATTGTGTAATTACTAGTTTAATTTGAAGAAGTAGTAGTTTAACAGGTTTGTGCTTTTAATTTGGCGGGAAACGTTTGGAGATTGAGTTCCCAACTTTCAAATCACAAAAATATGTAATAAAATTGATATAGTTACTTGCACTCAAAACAGTTGCTCCTATCACTAGTTTTCCCGTGTATGTACTTTTGGCCTCTGTCACAACTTTAAACTAGATAATTTAAGAGTAAGGACCACCCTCCCTCAGCCAATCAGCTCTCAGCCCAAAGAGTAAAATAGTTTACTTTTGAATGCGCTGGAAAACGGCAGCAGGTCCTACATAGCTCTGAAACAGTTGTTGTTTTGTGCTTTACAATTTATATTTTTCTGGCTTTTTTCACGGTTTACACTGGTCCAGACTGGAGCGGAGAGGATTCATGGTCTGAACCAAGAGGATCAAGTGAAAATCCACTAGAGGTTTGCTAACATTTTGAAAAATGCTAATGAAGCATTTAGCATTTGACTTTGGACTAAAGCGGAGAAAATGGTCCGAACCAAGCGGCGACTCCACCTCTGCTGCTGTGACCCGAAGGGCTGTTGCTGATTATTACTATTGTTAGCTTTTTAGAATGATCAGTTTTATTTCTTATTTTTGCTGCTACTGGACACCTGAATTATCTATCCATAGTGACTCACAGAAAGTATGCTGGAGATTACATGTTATCTTCTGTAGGATGTTGTAGTAGTCTGATTTATTCACAATATTTTACTTTCACGAGACTATCTCTGTCGGGACAATCAATGTATTATGTATGGAAGGAAATGTAGGTACCTCAGCTTTAATTTCACAATAGTAATTCCAAGGTATATAGGCAACTAACACCGAATAATGAGCCTTCACAATGGCGTCTGCGCATTTCCATTTGCGGACAGAACATGCTCTGAATATGAATACACATAATGGATGGCTCTACACTGTACATAAATCCATTGGTTATGACCTTGAATATTCTAGGATTACAATACTGCATCCAAGGAAACAACCGCAGTTCAATGGATTTTACATTGCCAATTATATTTTGCATTTCTTCCTATCAAACTCAGCATTCTTTTTGTATTTTATGTTCACTCAACTGCAAGACAAACGCAGATGCATAAAACTCCATCACACCCGGAATCAATGAGACAGACTCCAGACGTTTGGGGCTGTCCCTCGAAAGGAAAGAAAAGCGCTGGAAATAAAACGCTTCTCGTGTTTTGCAGATGCTTTGAGAAACTGTTGGAGCAGAATGTTGTGTTCATCGATCGCTTGATTGGACTTGACAAGTTGTATTTGTTTATTTATTTTCCTCACTGCGCACAATAAATAGATTCCACCAAAGCAGTATGGATCAAGATAGGCTTGTCTGCTATGTTTGAAAGGGATTTGTTTTGCTTGGCCGTATGCTAACTGGCTAATGAAAAAGAAATGATCTGTTTTTGAAATGAAACAAAAAATGTCTGACCTGATGTTGAATGAAGATTTCTTCTTTATTCTTTGGGAAATGAGTGTGACAGCTCTGAACAGAAAATGCCAATTTAATGTTTGCCACCCACTCTCTGTGTTGTGACCAAGAAAAGAAAATGCTGGATGTTTGGTTTGTTGGAGAGACGAGGGGAGGGGGGAGTGGTTTCGAATTGGTGGTACGGCTAAGCTAACAAAATCGCTTACTGCACCTTTAACATTCTTTGTGGACTGGTATCAGCGGAACCACCTCCTCATCAATGGAAAGACCAAGGAGATGGTGGTGGATTTCTGCAGACGTCGCTCTAATGTTCCAGCTCCAGTGAACATCCGGGAAGGGACATTGAGAGTGGACTCTTACAAGTACATGGGTGTTCATCTGAACCACAAACTGGACTGGACCCATAACACAAACACCCTCTTCAAGAAGGGCCAGAGCCGACTCTAGCCGCTCATATCTTTTGGAGTGCAGGGGCCACACCTGAAGACCTTCTATGACTCTGTGGTGGTATCAGCTGGATGTGGTGGAGCAGCTCCTCTACTCTGAGCACCTTGTGTGACTGAGACCCTCACTGCTAATTTACACATCACACGTTACAGCACGTACGCGTTATACGCGCAGCAGACGCGCATAACTTTTTTCCATGTTAACCTATGATGATATTTACACTTCTAGCGTTATACGCGTGTACAGTATGACGGACGTATGACGCGAAGCTGCGCTCTACTTTAGGATAAATTTCTAATTGTGTGCGCGCATTAACGCGTCTCCCATTGAAATCTCATGTAAAACATGATTTTTCTAGCGGCCCTTAGCTCTAGATCACATCTGCACACACACAGCACTTGTGTCTAAACATCAGCAGGAGGAGCAGCAGGAGGAGCAGCAGGTTTTACAGCGATTCTGGGCATCGTTTTTTTTCTTTCATAAAGTCTGGCGTCTGGCCAAACCAGCGCACAGAGACCATGGAGACAAACACATGCATGTGATTTGTGTTGCTCTACATCAGTCCTCTGTACTGTCCTCTACACTGCTCTATAGACTACACAGGGAGAGCATCAGAAGATGCTGACCTGCGCGCACGGCCTGTGTAGATAAAATGTACGCGCAGGGAGCGCGCAGTAAACGCGTACGCGCTGTTTACGCCTATTGTGTAAATTCCCAGTCAGACTAAATATATCTGAAAAGGAGCTTGTGCTGCCACATATGAAAGAAACTCTACAATCTTTCAATCATTACCCTAAGCTTCCTAACCCATAGTCATAGCCTCAGAAATATCAATATGAACCATTACTGTTTTAAACTCAGTCTATAAAGTGTACTTTTATACGGTTTGCTTTTCAGATGTAAAATGTTAATACATCTAAAATGTTAATTGTTGTAGATTCTGTCCAAACTAACATGCTTTTTGACTACTATTTGACATAAAAAAGTTGACAGTTTAAATAACAGTATTTACTGAGTGGTGCACTCGGGACAGAGTTTATCCCAAACTGTGCCATTCTACTGTTTGCCTCGAGCCTGGGGTTGTTTGTGTGCTCAAGGTCACAGTGGAAGTATTAAAAGCGCCTTTTTCTCATTCCGAACATCACCTCGCGCCCCTGAAATTCTCCCTGTGTCTCTTCTGTGGCTCTTATATCATGTTCCAATCTCACCTGCCTTCCTGATAGGTCAATCTGCTCCTCATGACAACCACGCAACACTATGTCTGGGTTTGACTCTGGTTTAGTGATTATTGTGAGAAAAACACCAGAATCTAAATAATGGTGTAACACAACATTAGACTTTCCCTTATCAAAAGCATAAATGGGATTGGCCTACATTTCCTCGCCACACCACAACATCAATGTGGCACAGTGGTTAACACTCGTGTTTCACAGAAAGAAGGTCCTGGGTTTGATTCTTCCTCCAGGCAGGGATTTTCCATGTAGAGTTTGCATGTTCCCCCCACGTGTCTGCGTAGGTTTCCTCCGGGTGCTCCGGGTTCTCCAGTGGCGACCTTCCTCCTTCACTGTGGAGTGAGAGGAAAGAACAATCAAAGTGCTTTGTGACAGTCTTTGAAAGGCGCTATATAAATAATGATGACTTAGTTACTTACACACCACCTGCTTCAGCTCATATGGGGGAATCCTGAGGTTAGGAGACACAGCCCCTCCACGGTGTCACTGGGTCCCAGTGGGATGTTGAAATGGAGGAGCGCTCAGCCGCTCTGTGGAGAAGACTCAGTTTGACCTTTTACTGGTTTGAATAAGTCTTTACCAAAAGCTTGAGATCATGAGTAGGGCTGGGAGCATAGAGAGCGTTGCCTTTTGACTCCTTCTTCATCACAGCAGTCGATATACAGAGACAGTGAGTGTCTGTCAGTCTCACGCTCCATCTCTCCCTGATTTGGGTGAGAATTTATAACTTTGAAATAAGAAAGTTCTACTGCTTTAAATAGTAATATACACATGCATGTATTTCTTGGAAAAGTCATTGACAGTGATGTTGTATTAAATGCATTTTCTACCCCTCAGCATTCACCTATTGTCAGTAATATAGGATATGATTTTCTGAAAAGATTGTACATGTCTGCATAAATCATACCCATTTGTACTTGAATGGAAAGAAGGCCAGAGCTCCCCCAGTGCTTTTCCTTATTAGTAACACACTCAGCATACCGTACCTTTTATGCAATGGAGGTATTTTCGTTCATACATGCCCACACACTCTTTCCAACAGTCTTACATTAAAACCATTGTGGCATTTGCGGCCCATATGTCGGACCTTATGTTTATATTAGCTTTGGCTGGACCTGGGGCGTATACGTGGCGGATGTGTGTGCCTATACTGTCCACAGCCTCAGCCTGAACCTGCCTGGAGACTTCCACAGCTCGATAAATATTCCACTGCTGTTAAAATATCACATTGGCACCTCTTTGTTCGCTTGACTGTGCAAGTGTGTGTCTATGGAGAAACTCGCCTCTTATCCGTGCCATCCAGCCCTAGTCTAGACCTCGCCAACTTATCACCCAGGCCAAGCCATCTTTTCTCCATTACACCACAAACAAATTGGTCTGTTACACCTCTGTCTAGGCACAGATTGCATTTCTCCTCTCATCCCTCAGCGTCTCGGCGTTCTTTCTTGTGCTACCGTGACATTTGCAGCAAGCTCACACCAGACTTTTACTCAGCCTGATGCAAAGAGATTGGGATGTTTTTTCTCTTTTATTTTTGCTTATTCATGTGTGTGCCAGATATACCGCTGTTCCCCGATACACTTTTACAAACAATTATGAACATGTAGACACATGTGGCAGTGCTATCAGTATT